TATGTGCCCTTCTATACAGACGCACCATTAAAACCAAGCTCCAGCACACACCATCTGTACTATACAGCCGCCTAACTCATGCCTATAGATATAAGCAACACCAGGCACACGTGGGGCTTCCCTCCACAGTTGCTCCGGAGCGGATCCCGTCCCCTTGCAGACCCCGTGCAGAGAGCCCCGGCTGCTCCTGCCCCCGGAATTTCGGGATTCGGGCTCGTGGAGGCTTTCCCTGCACAGACCCCGCTTGTCTCGCCTTGCAGCGCTGCATTTTTTATGGAACCCCGTTTTGCGGGGGGTTGCTGAACCCCAAAAGCCGAGGGGCAGGTGCCGGTCCCTCTGCTCCCTCCCCAYGGCCCCAGCCGGGACTTGGCTCCGCGCCGGAGCTTTTGCCACGTCCGACAGCCGCTGGAGGAAGGAAATATCCGGGCAAAGAGCGGAGCGGGGGGAACCGGCTGCACCGGAGGGGGGTCCCTGGGAACCACCCTCGTGTCCCACCCCGGCTCATCAAGCCGGCAATCCGGGAAAGGCGCCAGGGTCCCGGCGGGAACGCGCGGAGAGCCGGAGGGGGGCAATTCCCACGGGAGGAGGGGCAGCCGTGTCCCAGGCCGAAACCTCCTCCCCGCTCGTGGCCATCCCGATCCCGGGGGGGCCGCTCGGCCGCGCGGGAGCCCCGGCTTTACCTGGGCTGCTCCACGCGGAGAGGGGGACGCGCGCGGAGCGGCGGGACGCGGAGCCCCCCGGGCCAGGCCGGCGCGGGCTCCGACGCGGATGCCGGAGCTCCGAGCACTTCCTGCTCGCTCCGGGCACAACACTTCCTGCACGCTCCCACGCGCCGAGCGCGGCCGGCCGGCCCTGGGGCTGCCTGTCCCGCTGGACGGGACACTGTTCCGGGCCGCCCACGTGGTGGAATTTGCTCCATGGAGCAGCCGTCTGGAGCAGGACTGGAGAAGACAAGGCTGAGAGGGGGTCTGATTAACATGTATAAGTTCATGAAGAACTTACRGTTTTGAAGACCATAAGAGGTCTTCAAAACCCGCCTGGATGCCACAGGCGGATGCCCGCCTAGGTGTCCCTGCTGGAGCAGGAAGGTTGGACTAGATGATCTCTAGAGGTCCCTTCCAACCTTGAATATCCTGTGATTCTGTGATTCAGGAAGGGAGAATGTAGGGAGGAAGGGGACAAGCTCTTCTCATTGGTGGCCAGTGATAGGACAAGGGGTAATGGCCATAAGCTGAAACACAGGAGGTTCCATCTCCAGGTGAGGAGGAACTTCTTTACTGTTAGGGTGACAGAGCCCTGGAACAGGCTGCCCAGGGAGGTTGTGGAGTCTCCTTCTCTGGAGGTCTCCAAAACCAACCTGGATGCCACCCTGTGCCACATGCTGTAGGTGTCCCTGCTGGAGTTGGAAGGTTGGACTAGATGATCTCTAGAGGTCCCTTCCAAC